GAGGAAACACGAGCGCCCCGGCCGCCCCGTCTGCCGCCGCCGCCGCCGCCGCTGCAGCCGCCGCCACCGTGGCCCCTTTCAGCGCAGCAGGCGCCGACGCACCGTCTGTTCCATTCGCGGCCTCGCTGCCGCTGCTGTCGCTGTGGACGATCTCCATGGGATGGCTCAAAAGCTTGCGCTGCAGCGAGTTGTGCGCCTGCCACTGCTTTCCATCCAGGCCGAGCTGGGGTGCTGTCCGCACGTCCGCGCCGCCGCTGCCCTCCTCCGACCTCGCCACCATGTGCATCACCGGCACAGCAGCCGCCGCCGCCGGCGCCCCAAACGTCCCCTTGATTGTGGAGGCCGTCGCCGGCGGCGCAGCCGCGCTGGCCGACGCCAGGGACGCGGGTGACGGCGGCGCCGCTGCCGCCGCCGCGCTGCCGGCGGCGGCCGCGACTGCGGCCGCGAGGCTCCAGCTGCTGTTTGAGCTCCTTGATGCGCCGCTGCCACCAGAGCGCATCCGCCGCCAAGCAGCCGCCAGTGCCCCGAACGGGGACGCCCGCGGCGTGGCCGGGACGAAGCCGCTGGCGCTGGCGCTGGCGCTGCCGGTGGGCGTGTCTGACGACGTCGTGCCCTTGCCGACGCTGCCTGGTGCGGAGGGGGTCCCCGTGTGCGTTGGAGAGCACGGGCTAGGGGCGGACGGGCCGTTGACAGAAATTGGGGACCCCTGGGACGGGAACGCCGACTGGACCACGGCCGCTGCCGCTACAGCTGTCGCCACCCCAGGCTGTTGGTCGGGCGCGGCTGCCGCGGCAGCTGCAGGGTGCTCAGCGGCTTCGCAGCCGGGGTTTGAGAGCCGCGCGGGGGACGCCGCGCCTCGGGCAGCGGCCTCTTGCAGCGAGCGGCTCAGCACCGGCGCAGCGCGCACGGGCAACGCGGCGCGCGCGGACGGCTGCGGCGGCGGCAGCGGCACCGTCTCCGGCACGGACCACGCCTCGCCGCCGCCACCGCCGCCGGAGGACGGCCGCCGCGGGCCGGCCGAGCCCGTGGGCGACAGCGCGCGCTGCGCAGCGCCTGCGACACGCTCGCTGCCGCCGCCGCTACCGCCGCCGCTGCCGCCGCCGAACGAGGACGTCCGAACAAGGCCCGACGGCCCAGGCAGCTGCCGCGCGCCCGCGGCCCCCAACTCAACCCCGCCCGGCGAGCGCTGCCGGAATGAATAGCCAGCGGAGACACGCCTGCCTCCCGCCATTGGACTGTCTGGGGGCGTGTCCGATGCATGCACGTCGCTCGCCGCCAGCTGGAACGACTTGGGGGAGGACACGCCCGTCTGGCCGGATGCGAGGGACACGCGGGAGCCCTGGGGGGGGTCGGGTGAGAGCGCGCCGCTGCTGCCGCCCGTGCGCACGCGCGGCAGGCCCTCGCCCGTCCACGCGCCTGGCCCAAAAGACACAGGCGCCATTGCGCGTGGATTCAGGCTTGCTGCGGCGGCCGCGGCGGCCGCCGCCGCTGCAGCAGAGTTCAGAGACGCAGCGCGCGCCGCCACGCTTATGGG